CCGGGGTTGGAGTTTTTCACCGGCAAGAGCAAGTTCGATGTGGACGACAAATTTAAGAAGAATAAAATGTCGAAGTTCACCTCCAAATATCTCATTTGGCAGGCCATCTGCTCTTGCGGACTGAGGAGTGAGCCTTTCGTGACAAAGGGCACAGTAAATGGCGAGATCTACAAATCTGAGTGCCTCGAGAAGCGCCTTTTGCCGTTCTTGCAGCAGCACGACGAAGCTCCGCTATTTTGGCCAGATTTGGCATCATGCCACTATTCTAAAAGTGTCCTGGAGTGGTATGAGGTCAATTCTGTCCATTTTGTTCCAAAGGACATGAATCCGCCAAACTGTCCGGAGCTGCGCCCGGTGGAGCAGTACTGGGAAATAATGAAGCGGGAACTTCGGAAGAGCAAGAAGACAGTCAAAGACGAGAAGGACATGTTAAGAAAATGGAAAAAAAAAACTGAGAAACTGGTACCGGATGACACTGTAAAGACTTTGATGGAGGGCATCAAGCGAAAATGCGTTCAATTTTACGTTCAAGGCTCCATCGATTAACTTTTCTTTTGATTTTTGAAGTAAATATATGTATAAAACTACCATAAAATTTTGGTTTGATTCTAAACATTATAAGAAAATTGGCATGACATTTTCGGTGTCGCAATAATTTCGTGTTCGCCCTTTATCCTACGGAACTCTTTAAAAGATTTACAACGGTATCCTGAGATAATTTCCAAAGAAATAATTTTGTTAATTCAGACATTGAAAATCATGCAAGATCCCGTACACAGAAATTTATGTCAAAGATTAAGAATTGTTTTATGAGATTCTGAGTTGAATTTGAAGATTATCCTTCTTTTTTCTATTTCGCATATCAAGCTTATTGCTTATCGCATATTAGCTTATTGCGTGCTCTCAACTTAGTGTTCTAAATGCATTTCCACAGGTATTAATTGAGAGCTTTCGATGCCAATACCAATGCATGAATTTGTATATTGTGTGGCAAGCACAATGAAACTCATGCCCAGGGAAATCGAGAAAATTCCCAACCCGAAAGATTCCTTGGACCGGACCGGGAGAATTGAACCCGCCGCCTCCGGCTTGGTAATACCGTGCCTTTACTGACTAGGCTATGAAGCCCCCTGGTCTAATACAACAGTTCGAGATTAGGGACCATAATAATGCTATCTCTTTTTCTTCTTCCTCGATGGCAGACACGAAGCGACTGCTGCCAGCCGTTATGGAAGTTTCGGTTGCGTTCGGGTGTAAAGCAAAAATCATAAAACTCAATCTCACCACAGTTTGGTTTGGTTTGCAGCTGGTGAGTTTTGTTAGCTTGATATTCCGAGCTGCGATATCACAGCTTGCAATATCAACTGCAGTTGTTTGCTTGTTGGTTTTTGGCTGCGAAAATCAAGCGTGGTCTTGTTCTTTGGTGAGATTTGATTTTTTGATATTTTCCAACACTGAAGTTTAAAGCGTCTTTTTTTATTATCCACACAGGGAGACCTCTCAAAAACTGTGTGGATTATGGACAGCCCCTAACTATTGTTTTTTTCAGTTTTTCAAGTCTTACATAGCAGCATAGATCAACTCTTTAATCACTTCTGTACAATTCTAAAAAAAAGCAATTGTATTCGATTTCCCTTAAGGCGAATCACATGTTTCATATAGATAGGGTCTAGTATAAGAGGGGAGCGGACTGGCTGGTTTTGAGCCAAACGAACTGTCTAAGCCAGAGCCAATCGAGCAGCGCCTATTTTAATTGCATTGTCAGTGTTGCTAGAAATCACCTAGGCATAGTTTGTCAAGGCAGTTTGTTTTGAACACACTTCTCTCGTATACTAGACCCTCTCTAGTTTCATAACTACATTGAAAACATTCGTCTTCTTCCTGGATTTGACGCTCTTGCATTACCCGAGTAAAGTCGATTAACAAAATGAAAGCAAATCGATATTAAAGTTTGCAGTGACATAAGTCTGAAATCATATTGTTCTTTCATTATGTAGACAAGAGTTTTTTAAATGAATGCAACTTAACTACTGTTAACGTATTGTTGAAAATTAAATTTAAGTTCATCGGTCGTTGAATTAACGATTTATTGTTTATTTTTTTGTTTAATACATTTAAGGTAAGTTCAAGTTCTTATCCGGGTGCGATTTGAACTCAAGTCTTTCAGCGTGCTAACCATTTACGTCAGCCCCGTATTCAGTTAAATATTATGAATGCAAAATCACTAATCCAATTTATTTCATTGAAAGCAGGATTAGTTTTCCGTTTGACATAACAATGTAAAATTTTGCTCTCAATTTTGCGGTTAAGTTAAGTTAATAATTTTGATTTCAATTTGATCTCCAGCTTTGTACGGGTAGCTTTTGTTTGCTTTAAAATTTGTGTTCTTTGAAGCACTTCCATAGATATTAATTAGAAGCTGGATACGCCAGCCAATGTATGAATTTGTATATTGAGCACAACACAAATGGCATATGCAAAACATGGACCTCCTTTAGCTCAGTCGGTAAAGGCGCAGCTACAAAGCAAGACCATGCTGGAGGTCACTGGGTTCGATTCCCAGTCCGGTCTAGGAATTTTTCGGGTTGAAAAATGTCTCGAATTCCCTGGGCATAGAAGTATGATTGGACTTGCCACACAATTATACCAATGCAATAATTGTACAGGCATCGAAAGCTCTCAATTAATAACTGTGGACGTGCATCTAGAACACTAAGTTGAGTGAGAGCACGGAATAAGCTAATATGCAATATGCAATAAGCTTGAAATGCGAAGCAGAAGAAGAAGAAAACATGTAATCATGAATTTCTTACATCCTCTGTAGATATTTCAGAGACAACTGTAATCAATGTTCTTACAACAGCCTGTAGTGAACAAGCATCTCTTTCCACCGTATATTTTATCGTAAAAACCCTCATAGGATAATTTCCTAGGTTTAATTTATTGGCGTTATACGTAATACTTCATAAAATTAGCGAAGATTCATTTCGTACAATTTCTTCTTCTAGTATTTCTTAAGACAATCACATCACAAAATCTGTTCATGCGGTGATGACATACACTCGTTTAATTTGGAATATAAAACTGTAAGAGAATCTTGGTTGAGTGTAGACCGGACCGGAAATCGAATCCATCACCTCCGGCTTGGCCATAAGACTATCCGAAGCCCTGGTTTCTTAAAGGCTATTGTCAACTCTCCGGAAACGAAAAATAATCTGATTCGTGCTGATGTTATCACATATTAGCTTGAATCAAAGTTTTCCGGAAACTCCATCAAGGATTGAATTTATTTTTCACTTGAACACAAGAATAAATCATCATAAAAAATGGGTAGACCGGATGGATAGCACCATCAGGAAAATCCCAAAAAGACAGCAATAATACCATAAAAAAACAAATAATCTACAGAGGCAGACAATGGCAGACTGCCACTTCCTTTGGGTTAACTTTTTGGTGAACGATGCACCAAGAACTTTTCTCACGTTCGAGTCAATGACAACCTTCTGTTGACAGCATAAAAAGATACAGGTTCAATACCTGTATGTCGCCATAACTATCAATAAAATGCAAAATAGGGTTCATTAACGACATGAATGCAAATATCTACACTCGGCCTATTGGAAGGACAACTTCAGGTAATCTAGGCCAATTGCTCACGGAAGGATCCACTAACTGAAAATTTGCATAATTAACATGAACTATCTCCTGCTGAGATTTACTTTTTATGTAAATCTCCCCGCACTGGAAGTGGAAACACCAAAGCACCAGAATGGTAAACACAAAACGGAAGAACAATAATTTGTTGGTTCCTTCCTACACAAACTTCCTGCTGCATGCCGCCTGGCAAGGTGATTATCATTCGGGATTTACGTTTGGGCTCGTCGTCATTGCTTACCAAGAAGTTTCAATATCTTATCGACATGTAATTCAATTTTGTTTTGTCAAATCACCAATCAATCATCATTGCCTTACCGGTCATATGCTGATAAAGCTGCTGCAATTAGGAATGTACATTCACCCAGAATGAATAAGCTCTTGATTCAATTTACGCACGAACAGCGCATATGATTGCTTCCGCATATGTTTGCAAGAGTGCAAAGGCGGATAATGCAGTTCACGGCGCGACAGACCGATCAGCTCCGTGACATGGTCAATAACGGGCGTCGATTTTGTGGATGACGGCGACGACAACGATGGACGTCAACAACGACACATCAATGAATCCCATTGAGATGTAGCTGCGAACCGGTACGAACGCTGGAGGACCTACTGTGCTGTCAAGACTCTAACATACCAGCAGCCACTGCGTCTATGTTCTTGATGCACCCTAACGAGCACGGTGACTCCAGGGATGCCATCGGGAGATGGTAATAATTTCTAAGCCTGTACTATTTTTTGCATTCCAGTATTTTCCTCCATAAAATGTAATCGAACTCACCGCCCTCATCATTACGGACAAGGATTCATATTAATGGTCTACAACTCCATGATCCAGTAGCTACATCCCTGGGCCACTTTCTTTGTACTAACGACCGACAACGGTCCCGTTGTCAGTGACAAGTTAAATAAGCTCATAACGTACAGAAAGAGGAGCGTATCGTCAACTTCATAGAATAAAATGCATCATCCATAGGATGACGACGACGACGACGACAAATGCAACCCCTGTGCACCACAGCCAAAGAAGCAGAGCCATCCCCATCCCGGAGGTGGCGTTCAAACGAGTAAATATTTACTTTAGCACGGACAGTACGTCTCCAGCTGGTGCCACTACTGCTGCTGCAGCAGATGAAGGGAAAGCAAATAAACTTCACTGTTTCCCTTCGGAGACAAAGAAACCGAAGCGGGAGCTCTAATGTTTCAAACTTCTCGGAAAGTAACGCTGGTTTGCTGGTGAACACGATTTACAGTTACTCAAATATTGATTAACGATTGTCCCGGTCCGGAGTTCTCTTGAACTTGATTAATTGTTTGAAAATGAACAAGAAAACGCTACTCACCAGTACTTTCGCGAACCGTCGATCCAGCTCGCCAATGTCCGGCATGGGCTGTAAATTGCGCGACCGGATGCTGGCTTGCCGTATGTGACAGCTCGACGGTTTCCAACTGTCGATAACGCTCGAGGGCGACGGTAGCAGCGAGCATGGCTGCTGAATATCCGGATGGTGGTGCTGCGTCTCGACAAGCACGCTGTCATGCTTGGAACCACCGCCGACGCCACCGTTACTGCTGGCGGCAATACTGTTGGCCGCCTTGGACGATGCCAAACCCATCTTTGGCCAGCTGTCGATTATACCCGATTCACCGATTCACTGTTTACAACAACAACAACAACTCCACGACAACAATAATCCACGAAGCACACCGAGCACGTAGTAAACACACTGGATTTAGCTCATTCATAGCCCTTAATAATTTTATTCTTTTCCATAAACACTTCTTCCTTTTCGAAAATTTACAACACACTACTGGAAGTCGAACGATTCCTGCGAAGGCCCGAAAAAGTATTATACCAGCAGCACGAGCAACAACATCGGATCACTTCCTCTGCCGTTCTGGTCGAATTGAATTTCTATATGCTGCTCACACAACATACATCACATCGCACAAAAAGCACACACGGACCCAACACCACCAATCACACGTGTGCGTGTGTTTGCTTCGCTCTCCCTTGGATTCGTTTAACACTGGGGAATGGAATTATTATGGAAATCACACAAAACAACAATTAGGTACTTTCAGGTAGTGAATGCTAATGCAGCACTCACTTGCCGAACGATCAAACAATATAGAGGTAAAATGGTCACTTCCGGTTCGGGGGGGACGGCGGATGTCTCGCGAGTTGACCACCCACACCCTCCTTCGAGCAACCTTTAAAGTCCATCAACCGGTACACCACGACCAATCGGAACTTCCTTCTCTCAGCTTCTGTACTGCTGAGTGTGGGTAATCAACTCGATCCAAGTGGGTTTGACTGTTAAAGTTCGTTCTGCTTCCCGGTGCGACGGCGGCGACGACGAATCGATTCCAAAAAATGATGATGTTGATCAAACGTGGCGGGTTCTGCCGTTCCCGCAAATCCGCCCGGTATCGAAAAAGAGACTTAACTCGACCGGTCAGTCACCGGCACTCAGAAGCTACCGGTAGCTGTTTTTGTGCAATTGGAAACCCCTTCGCGGTTTAGTGCTGACTTGAGGTGTCTGCTTTGGCTTTAGTTTTTTTTTTGTCGATTGTGCAAACTTTGAAATTTCGTTGAGCGAAGTTCCGCCCTGGAATGGAAAAAGAAAATAAGTTTGATTACTGCTTGGTTAAAATTAATCATTTTTTTTTCAGTTGAGAACGTTCGAAGATCAAACGAACTCCGAGAACCCACCCATGCGCACACCATTATGCTACATAACAGGAATATTAGCATCATTCATAGTTCAATTCAACGCCTAAACATAACAGCAACGACGAAGGCGGCAGCTGGTTCAACAATCGTCTGTTGCCGCTGCTGCTGGTGCAACACTCATAACAACCGATGCGGCTGATTCCGGATTTTCAAGATACTTTCATCGTTTGCATCCCACGTTCTGGGAGAGGAACGACCAACCAACGCACCTCCAGCCCCAGACTGTGTGCAACACTGCAAACATAATCTACACAAGTTTTCCCCTCCAAGAGCTGTATTATGATAGGTATATACAAACAGACTCGCTGTGCTTCTGGGGCAACAAATACGACGACGACGACGACAGAGGGCGTCTAACCGCTTCTGCCGCTCCCCCGGAGGCGACGGCGACGACGACCGCGTCGACATTCCAAAGTGATGCACTTTTTCTATAGACCATACGCTTCTCGTCGTCGTCTGGCCAGTGTTGAAGAAAAATAAGCTTAAAATTATGAATAGTATACATAAATTTTTCAAATGTGCGAGCATAACTTGCATCGTCGTCGTCGGTGGGTCGGGTCGAGTTCTTCTGACTGCACTATGCGGATTCGAGTGGCCAAATAGAAAAGACTTCTTCTGATTCGTGACTGTCAATCGGTAGTAGACCATTCAACGGAGAAACTTCCGGAAAATCAGTTCTTTAAAACTTACCGGGATACAGATCTTAGCTCCAGAATAGTTCGGAAAGCATTACATTGTTGTGCATATTTAATGCTGTTCAAATTATTGTGGAGTCAGGATCTTTAAGTTCTAAAGGCTCAATGAAGTCTTGAACAATGTCCTGGAAATCTATATGAGTCTGTGAAGCTGAACATGCACATCATGGAATGGTACCAATATGATGGTTAATGATCTCCAAACTATTCTGGAGTTTACTGCCCTGTGCGGCATAACAGTCCCATTAGCATTTTCGGCGAAAATACCGAAAACACGCATTTTTCACCCTTGATATTCTGACTGATTTTTTATTTTTTATTCAATCGTTGTAATTGTAAAAACAAAATAGTTTAGTGATTTTCTACAGACGCATTTCGCGCCAAATCGTATTCGGAACTGGCAGCACCCTCTAAGATTTCAATGAAACTTTCTGGATGTGTAGACCTTGACTAAATAAGCCACTTTGCATATACAGTCGTACCTCGATATAAAGCAACGTTACGTTATATCGAAGCAAAAAAAATATTTTTTTAAATCGAAAATTGTTTATCCTAACCCAAAGATGACCCAATTTTTTTCTAGTCATCTAACAGGTTAAATACGAAGCGAAAGACAAATCAAGCATTAAGCACAAGACCTTCAAGAAAACTAACAACACGAAGTCTGGAAATGGCAATGTTTCATTCAAAACGTCAAATTTTATGAATATCGGGTGAGGCCAATCTAATTGTAAATATTCAATCTTATTTTTATGTAGTAGGATATTCAATTGAACCGCTCCGGGTTATTATTAAGCTCTCCCCTTGGCTAGTTTTTAACATGGACGTTGGTGGGCGTGTCTTATATAATGCTTCATAGTGGAGCGTTGGAGACGGTTGGTTTGGGTCCAGCATCGTTGGCTCATGTCGTGGCGGAGTGGCGTCATGAGCATGCGATGAGGATTACTGAGCTTCCCCTATCTGATGAACCATTGCATGAGAGAACCAAAGTTCTAGCCTGAAGTGATATGATCACACCTGTTACTTCTTTTTTAAGAGCCGCGTCGTGGTACGCTTACGTATAGGCACTGACGTTGGGTGCGATACTGGCTGTTTTTTTTTCGCAAATCACTATTTATTTATTTTTACACAGATGTGTTTGTACGGGAGTTGTACTGTTGAGCAATTTTAGAAGATGCCCACCGGTGCTCCTTCTACTTGCGTGACGGGCTTTCATGTACACCATTTTTGTACATTACATTGTAACTAATCTTATATATGCTTCATTTTGGTTTGGGATAATTGTTTGAACTATAGCTCGGGATTTCCACTTTAGCGTGCTTCTATTGTGACATATCCATACGTAATTTTGTGGGACGAAATATTGGAAACATGTAAGCGTAGTTTGAGCATATACCCTATATAATTTAAAAATCAGCTAGGAAACTAACTTCAAAGTGAAGCATTTTAGTCACTGCACACTTAATTTTTTCTACCGAGCTCGGCTGTGCAAATCTCGGCAAAATAAGTTTCACTGAGATCTCAGCAAAAGTGACATTTGATTGCTGAGTCTCGGATAATGCTTAGCTGAATCTCAGCAAACAAATGAAATGTTTGCTGATATCTCAGTAAAACTTTTTTTGCCGAGATTTGCACAGCCGATCTCGGTAGAAAAATCTAAGTGTGTGGGACGAACTAATAGATAATAAATATAGGTCAAAGTCAAAAACAACTTGAAACACGTTAAATTTTAGATTACATGGACAAGTACAGGTACTTAATAAAGCATGGGTTATATTTGATTAGGTAGATTAGAGATTTCAATTATTTATTAAATAGGGCTAATGAGATATCATAATCATCACACGAAAATTTAGACAGCCTAATGACATTAAGTAGCGTGAAAAGGAGTTGGGATGCGGGGGGTTCGCTTAGCGAGGCAACTAGCCTTTTCATATATTGTCTGTTTGTTTTGATGGTTGTTTTAAAATATCAATTTGGTATATATGTGAAAGAATGAATCAGTGGGAGATGGATTTAGAGTTTCTTTGCATTTTGCAGCACAAATCTAGTACTAGGTGTCATTTCCCCAAAACCTCCCAATAGCCGACCTCTTCAATCCCTTCCATTTCCCATGGCGTTCAAGTGGTCCGCATAGACTATTCAGCTATTACCCTTCCTTTACCCTCGGCTATGGATTGACTTGCGCTCCCATTGCCCCACCAAACGCTGCAAAATGAAAATGAAATGAAAATGATTTAAACTTTCAGTCGTGAAAATCGCGGAAACATTAAACGATGTCGCGAAAATCACGAAGGGACTGATATGCCATCACAAAAATTGCGGAATTAATTTTAATGACGCGAATTGTTTATGGTAATTTTTGGTAAAATTATCACGATTTTCTTTTTATCGTGTAGTTCAAACTGGATTCTTCCAGTGTTTTTAGACGCATCCAGCCAAACAGTTCAAGTTTTAAATCTTTCAGTTTTTTGAGAAATCATCAAGCTTTATCCAGTATTCCATTACTAAAAGCAACATATTTTGAAGTATGATTACCAATACAGAATGATTTAGATGCTTACGCTTTAAACTTTTATATTGGAATTGAAATCTGGAAACGCAGTATTATATTGTAATTGAAATCAACAAAACTCGTGGCGATGCTACGATCAAGCTCGCTTAACGGCATGGAGACAGCCCAAGTAACAAATCTAGAGCTGCTTGGCTATATTCAAAATTTATACAGGTTTTATTGCAGCTGCAACCATTACCTACTCACACTAAAAAAATCTGAATTTTACTGGTGATGTAAACATCCATGCATGCAAACATTCATGCATGTAAAGTTCCTTTTCACGTAAACTAGCAGCTTGCAAGAAATGTTGCAAACAAAGGTGGAAAGTTGCATACAATATATGGAATATTGCATGACATGTCTCATAAATTTACACGATTTATAATGTAAATTTGTATGATTTATGACGCTCCATTTATGTGCATCATAGTAACGGAAATTTACACTACTTTTTTTTAGCTGTGCTGCTTTATGACGGTCATATACAATGCAAGTCATGAAACATTCTTATAGCTATCTACACAACCCCTATAAAGCTAATGAAAAAACCAACTGATGCTTATGCTATTTTCACTTATGAAAGGTTTTATGATTGCTTTGAAGTATAAAAAAATTGAATTGCCCTTATAAAACCCAAAAATAAATCCTTTTGTTGCTTTATAAGTAAGCGCAATAAAACTAGTTGGCCATGAAACAGTTATTTTAAAACAATTATAAGCATTCAGTTGCAACTTGTCAGAAACGTAAATAGGCGGTTTATTTTTACAACATAGAAAAGAATCAAAACTTTCCGGTACTTCCAAGCGGAGCGCAAAGAAAATCAACAAAATTGTTAGCATGAGCATGAAAACATTTCGTGTATACGTATACGCGACGTAGTGTGCGTACGAAAAACGTCAGCAATCTCTATAATTCTTCCGTTCTCGCTCGCATATACATGGGGTGACACTGTCGAATCTTGGTCGAAATACATGGAATGGTGACAGTCCTAGGACAAAAAGGTTGAAATCACGCATAACTTTTCATAAAGGTTAATGTACCATTCAAAACCTTTCCAAATGTTTGTAAAATTCATCGGTTGCACCCGTAGAATAGGAATATACATTTGCCCTCAAATAAAAAAAAAATAATTCAAGATGAACATTGCATTAGGTCCTAAGTAATATTGACAGATTCTCTTCGTCGACTTTCTCTTTGCATCCCCACGGTCATGTAAAGACATTCCCAGGTATTTTCAGCACATAAATCGATAAAAGAAGCTTTATTACGTTATTAACGAAAAAGAAAGTCGACGAGGGGAATCGATCAATGTTACCTAGGACCTAATGTAAAGTTCAGCTTGAAAAAATATACCTCTCTCAAATTTTGATATTGATATATATTGCTTAATTTTTGCTGAAAAATGTCAGGTTGCGATTTTTTGCGCTTTAGAAGATATTAAAGTTCAAAAATTGTGTTTTTTTTTTCGTTTTTTCAACAATATCTTTGAAATTTGAAGCTTAACCCAGTATGTTTCTTCATAAAAGTTATTTATTTAATGCATTTGCATAACAGAAAAATATAACATTATATAGTTGTAAAGGGTTATACGGTCAAAATTTGGTCAATATCAACTTGACGTAT